TACTATTACTATGATCTATGATTGTTCTTGCTACTTCTCTACGTTATTAAGATAACTGTTATGACTTGGGTTGACAATGTCAGCAGCTGAAACTGACGACACCAGATTAGACGAGCCACAGTTCAATGGGCCGGGCAGCTATCCATTACGGTCGGTGCTACATAGAAGCACTAAACAATTTTTACGTGCAAGTTATTGTTGCTATAATTTATATCAGCAGCAGTAACGACACGAGAAAAGCAGGTACCTTTAGCTTTAAGCCCATCGTTCTACTCCCCCGGATTCCCTTACCATTCGAAAAGAATGACACTGTACGGTATCAGGGCGATGCGTGCGCAACAGTAGCAGGATGTACAGCAGACAGGCTAGTGAAGAAGGCAACCACGGCTTGACCTAATGGAGACCGACCTAATTGCTTCGAGTTTGACGTCAGGCGCCACCGAATACAGGCCAATATAACCTATTTCGTCCAGTCCCTGTGGCACCGTACAATTTAATATTATGCTAACGTATTTCTGTGTACAACGTAGCATGGACTGAGAGGCGAACTATAGCTGAGTGAGTGCGCTAGTGACTGACACGTGTACACGCACACACACACACTCACATTCATAGATGGGGTGTGAAATAATGGGGTGCTTAACTTTCGAATTTTCCTTGCTACTGTGGCTGGTGTAGTCAGTGTTGTTTGCGCAGAGCAACTTGGATGCGTTTCAACTCTACTTGCTGTTAGCAACCCCATGCCGCCGCTACCGTTAAAACGACAATGAAGTAACAAGAATGCAACTGGATAATACTGGCAAACCACTTGACGGATTCAATAACTAAGTGAAGAACAAAGGGCCAGACAGACGGATAAGGGGGGGACCGATTCACATATGAGGGTACGATCATGTATGTGTACGCGGCCTTACACGCCAATCCACGTGCATCTCCGATGGACGGTTAGGTTTGTGTATTAAGAATACAGACCAGCAGGGAGAAGGTGGCCCAACTGTAACACAGGAGCAAAGGCGGTACCAGTTGCAGCGTTGATCGTAGATAAAACAGAACGGCCCACGATCGTCCACATGATAAAAAGACTAAGCCAATAGAACTCATTATAGCATTATTATTATTACTATACATCTATGCGCTAAAGTACGAAAAAAGAGAACGCAGGATACACTAGTTGATTGCGGCTGTTCCATCGTGCATAACCACCCCATCAGACAGTTCCGTAGTAGTCTACTGTTACCGATAGTAGAGCTGATACGTATGGTGTATATATTAGCAGCAGCAATGCCAGCGGGATTCAAGCCCAGGAGCAATGTGATTTGACAAAAAAGAAGGGGTACACGCTTCGAGCAGACAGGTAAACAGCGAAAATGCGCAGCAGACTAAAGTTGTTGAGCCAATTGCTGCAGCTACTGATTATAGTCTGCCCCTGTCAGTGCGGCAGGAACGGCCGGAAGAGGCTTAGCCAACCCTTCATATAACTACATAACGAGAAAACAAATACACAACGAAGAAAAACGAATTAACTGTGGTGTTACACGGCTTGTAACAAAAACCCAGCTTCCTGATTGATAGTCAAGAACAGCAACAGCATAGCAACAAAATGTCTTGCTTTTTCCATGACTGCTTTGTCATCTTTTCTGTTTGTCGACAATTTGCGGCGGCGACGTCGAGAACGAACTTCGACTTCGTCTAAATCTATTACAGACAGGGATAAATTGGTACAGCTAGTTGTTGGACACGGATTCGGCTGGTAGTTGGTAGTAGCAGAAAAATAATAATAGCTGTAGTTATAGTGAAGGTGGAGTTGTAAAAGCAGGTGCCAATTTGGCAAACTCAGATATCAGAATCTGCACAGTTACCTCACTCATTAATACTACAGATCGCTTCGATCACACAGTTTCCGGACCGTCATGTCCGGTCGAATCAGATGGCGGTAAATTTTAAAAATTCCCATCGGGTTCATGCCCCTATGGCTCAGGCACGTTGATCGCGCTTGGTTCCGTTAGCCGGTGAAATCCCGCTTCCATCGTTATTGCTCCCTTCTGGAATCGGCACACACTTTGCAGAAACAGAATTATTTCTAGACTAAGATTGCCGCTTGGCCGCGGCGGTACGGATATTAGGATGATGCCAAAGGCTTCTCGCCGAGCTCATGGGGAGGTGGGGATTAGCAGGGGCGACGGTCCCCGGGACGTCCTATGCAGTAGCAGCAACCGTACGAATCACGATCATATTATAGGCATGCACTACGAACAAACAGAGGCGAACTGCAGCACTAGAACAGGTGTCATCGTGCATATGCTATACATATATCACAGGACAAGACCTAGCACTGCCGAGAACGGGAAATAGAGAAAAAGAAAAACAGAGGGCCTTAGCGGACGCTTATGGTACCATTATACATATTTATTCTAGAGAGAGTCTATTCGCAAGATTCTAAACATATATATAATATATATGTTTAGAATCTTGCGAGTTGGCCAACCCTACACAAAAAAATCTCAAGTTTCGTGACTACGTCAGTACAAGTATATCACCATTTACTAAGTGATGCCCACAAACGTTGTATTATATAGTCGAGGTAAACAGTATATTTCGCCTGCTACTGTTGTGGCCATCGCGTAATACATTGATCAGCACCAAAAAACGCCCTGGGTTTCAATTATCCAATATGGTAGACCGATTCGACTTAAGCGATCGGAATCCAGCCATTAAATCGCCGTACAAATCCGAGCAAAGAACACGAACCAATATGCATAATGAACAGACGGACACTTCTTACGCCACACACCACCAGCTAACTAACGAAATAAACGGGCACATGACTCTGGTCCAGAAGTGGTAGTAACACGAGGGCAACAAACATGTGGCAACAGTGTGAAAAATGATCAAGGTTATATCTCTCTATGTATGCCTTTCTGGTTACGAGTCTGTCCAGGCTTCGACACTCAGACGGAAAGATATATTCAGATTGGGACAGAAGGTTTATGCAAATCAGAATAAAACGGTCAGAGATCCCTGTAATTATTCTTCTACTCGCACACAATGTATTATCTATTGTATTTAGTGTAATACTTCTAACAGTGCTTGTAACAGCCTTCTTACTCGTAGTGAGGCCATACGTACATAGGGAGGGGCTGGGATCTGTCGAGCTGGATCTCAGAACTGCTGCTGCTGCCGATAGTGTTGACACGGCGACTGTGTCGCCTTTGTCTGTCGGACTCAGCCTCTTTTACATGTTAAAGCAGTTCCTACTGAAATGATGCTGGTTCTCCCTGGGTGTGCCAATGGGCCCAGCTTCGACGACCGAAACACCTAACTACTACCAGCTCGCAGCCAACAGCGAACAACCAGTAAACTACGCGCAACAAGCTATTATTTGTGAAGGACTCCAATCGACAATGGCACGGGCGATCGGATTCATCGAGACGAGAGCGAAAGGGATAGACACTGAGTGACTGAATTACTGATTGTCTGCTCCACAGCATTTCATACGGAGTAAAGGATGGCGGCCTTGTGGAGTTACCACAGCTTTGGCTTCGCTGCTGTGAATTCCCCATATCGACCGCTACTGCTTTTAGTATTATATTCAATGAATGAACATTTCAAGGTGTTTTTTCAAGCCATCCGCTTCTTCCCTCCGTCGCAGCCTCACTGACCGAGCTCATCCTACTACAGTGGCGTTTACTACGGCTGTTGTTGTTGTTGTCGTTAGTTACTTCGTCATCGTTTAGCGGCCATTATCGGCCTCGGCAGTCGCTGCTACTGTAGCCGTTGTTGCTAATCCGTGAAGCGTTAGGATCGAACACACGGACGCACTCGGTAGCAGCCGCAACAATAATTGAGAAGTAGTAATAATGGTGGTAGTGGTAAACCCAACCACCTAGCTTGCCAATCAGCCGTCCAGCTCAAAAGCATTGCAGCAAAAATCGGCCACCGTTCGATAGATCAATGTAGATGTCACTACAATACGAGTACGATTAGTTTAGTAGCCCAGATTGGTAACGTAAAACACAACGTAAATCACATTTCTTGCGGATTGAACGCTGATTTTTTGTTGCGGCCTCGGTGCTTTTGTCGTCATAGCAGCCGTCATGGGTACCAGCAGAGTCCCTAGTCGCGTAATGTAGAATCGAACCTTAACACCGCCTCAACATTGTATGGTGCATTTTTCTGCTGTAATGCTACCATCAGCTCCTCCAGCAGTTTTTGGCAGCAGTCGCAACAGCCTATGGGATGACAGCTCATAATGACAGCTGACAGTGATTCTAAGGGGAAACGTAAGGTAGTAGAAATTAGACGCAATCATCTCGTTGTTTTCTCAACGGCCGAGCATTATCCTAGAGTGGAAATCACTTCAAGAAGATTCAGCAGGGGTCACGCACTTCATATAATAAGCTCCGAGCACGATTTCACTTACCATTGCCAACGATTTCACCAGATTTAAACGCTCAGTGCAGCGAGCCCACTCAACAACGGTCTTTGCCAATAGCCAACAATACACACCGACCGATCAGCTAGTACCCGAGCCGAACTGCAGTGGCCGCCGCAGCGCCCTCTGGGCACGACAGGCGCCTGGCGCGGCAAGGTGCAGGGGGAGGGGATTCGAAGGGGGCTATCCGTGACGGAAATGTCGTGCGTAAGTTCTCATCCCCTCGTGGCTTCTCGTTCAGTAGCCTCGATCTTCGGCTACGGCCACGGCAGCAGCAGCGGCGGCGACTCGTGTCGGCCAGCAGAGCCACTGGCTGTGCGGGTGATCGGTGCCTGTGTCGACACTCAGTGATGCCATAGGGTTGGCAACGGTTATGGCGGTTGGCAATGGAACAGATGAGCCCCGGAGTGAGTGTATGGCGAGCCAAACGATCGACAATGCACACAGTCGCGAGCGGAGTAGCAGCCGCCGCAGTTGCCGCCGCCGCCATGGGCAGCACACAGGGAGCAGAGTGGTGTGGTGCTCGCTGGCTGTCCGTCCGTCCGTCCGTCCGCCCGTCCGTCCGTCTGTCTGTCTGTCCGTCCGTCGCTCTGGCTATAGGAGCTGTTGAGACGGCTAACGATGCTGCTGCTTCTAGCCGTAGTGCTGATGGAAGAGGGAGCGGCAGCGGCGGCGGCAGCGGGCGGGTGGACTGCTATTGCGTTAGGCTGAAGCTATGCGAACTGGCGAATGGCGGCTGCTGTTCTCTCTGCTTCTCTATGTCTTCTCGCCGGACTCGTGTGTGCTGACTGCTGCCCCTCGTTACCGGCTGCTACCGTCATCTGCTGGCAACAGCAAGAACCAGGAACCGCCGCCGGGTTGCCGGCCGTAGCAAGAATCAACAAGAAGGTTAGGACACGGCGGCTGGCAGCCGGCCCGCCACTACAGCAGCAGAAGTAGCGATGGCGTCGGCGCGCTGGCTGCTACAGAGAGAAAACGAACGACGGGCAAATAGGAGGGCAAGCAAAGGACGAACGAACAGCGCAGCAACGACTTTATACTTCCGCCATCAGCTGTGGCAGTAGCGGCAGCAGCAGCAAACAGTCAGAACAGCAGAACTGACAGCAAAAGCTCTGATGATACGCAAGATTACTGTGGCGGAGTGTTGACGGCCCTCGTGTAGTCGGCAGTGGCCGTGGCGGCGAGAAGCTCGCCAGCGGCAGCGGAGGTCCTCGCCGTTAGCGGACACCGTGCCGCCAAGCAGAGCTGTCACCAAAGCCACCATTTGAGCCGCAAACCTACAACGGCGAAGTCGGGCTTTGGTCGCCGATGGGACGACGGCGGCAGTAGCGACGGGCCTGCACGGAGAGGAGTGCCTGCGCACGCGGTCACACGACCAAGTACACAGTCATATTGGGAGCAAGGCTACACACGCTGCGTACCTAATGGAGGCTAAGACCCCAAGGCAACCTACCCGTGGACAGGGACATAGGCCTCTGCGCACTTAGGAACTGGCACATGGCCATGAGTGGCCATGCCACGCTGTGCTCAAGGAGGTGCATGTACATGTGACATTTCGATGTTGCCAACGTTCACTTAAGCAAACAGACGGGACAAACACAGAAAAAAGAGAGACAAGATGGGAAGTACACAGCAGCGGGTTACGGCGGGCCCCACTGGGCACCCCTTACGCCCTGTATATTTCTGCATGAGTCTATGTACTCGACCAAGTATGAGTGTGAGTTTACGTGTGAATGGACCGTGCTGACTAAGCGTAGCCTTCGGTTCGGTCGTCTCTGACTGGATGTATGGCTTAGTGTGTGTACATGAATGCATGTGTGTAGATAGAAGACGAGGGGGATGTGCCAGTAGCAATTAGAACTAACAGCACTGGGCCGCTGTGGTCGCATGGTTGCAGCTGCTGTTATTGATGCTGCTATCACGGTGTAAGTTCCCGAATCCCTCATCCTTTCTCTTATTGGGCTCCCGTCGCCTTGCCCTCAGTCACTTCCAACGTTCGCTTGGCACTCTCACAGGGACGTTTCTCTGGAACAGCAAATAACTGCCTAACGCAATTGGACTGGATCTCTACGTCTTTACGGTTTTTTTTTCTCACACGAGTCCTTGCTAATGAATTCTGGGATTAATGACGAAGCATCTTTCCCCGGCAATACCTCCTCTCTGGCAAGCGTACGCATCCCCCTAAACCTCCAGCACCCCTATGGCGAGCCTGAACCTACTGCATCATCAACCATAGCCACACAATGCCTGTCGATGGCGGAAATAGCAAAGAAGCAGCACTACTAATCCGGTACTAGCCACAGTAGAACGGTACAACTCCAGGTAAGCATCTGGACAGCCTGCAAATCAAGTGCACAGGGAGGGAAGGCACTAGCTATAGGCAACAAAGGAAAAGTCAGGGCGTTGCTTAGTAAACTACCAAACAAGCTCAGTTGCCGCCACTTCACTCACTGGCGAGAGGCACTCGTTTGGCAAGTCCACTGCATGCTCCTACATATTGTCATTGCAGCATCCACACATATAAGCACGCGTCAGCAGGGTCTAAGTGTACAGAAGACCGTGCATTTCTCGCGTGCTGCTATGGCCGTTGTCGCGAAACCTCCCTAAAGGATTGTCCGCTGTGTCATGGAGCAAAACAGACCAGCCATACAATGACATTGTGGCCTGTAAACCGTTGATATCTCCCTAGTTGAATCACCGGTGCGCTATCATCGTAACAGTAGCAGTAACAGCAGCGAGTGTTGCTGTCGCAGCTGACGCTTCAGTGAATGAAGAACGCAGAATGAATTAACGCGCTAAAGAATTCGCCCCTATGATGTACGTGCAATTTGTGTTTTGACTTGGCTTGAGAGACAGACAAAAATTGGCTAGGGATGCTGTTTGCCTTCGTAGCGAATTCAGCTTCTATCAAGTCTTGTTACTATAACCCATTAATTATAACAGTCGGTTTACTGTTAATACAGAACTAAACATAAGCTTAAAATAGCTGTGTATGGTCTAGAGCTTTTTACATTGCAGGATACTTGTGAGGAGAAAAGGAAAACGAACCAGAGATGAATGAACTAGTTGTGCGTTGACGTATCCGAAGAAGCTGGTAGGTGAAACTCGGGGTCTAGATGGAATTCTAGTTAGCAGTTGCTCTAAGACTATTTCGAAAGGTAGGAAGTCCTAGTTGCATTGAGCAGGAGAATATTTTTAGCAGGAGAGCATCTTGTAGGGATATAAAAGTGGCAGAGCAACGGAGCAATCAGAACAAGTCGGAGTTGACGCCACCTTAACTAATTATGGATAAGTCTATCTGTCTTTCTTGAAACTATTGTTTTTAGCCTACGAGAGAAATGGGCTCGATTATATCAACACCATGTCTAATTTAGCGCGCAGAAATTTTTCGCATAGATGTATTGCTCAGTCGGCAACAGGTTTGCGGTTTAATGGCGCAAGGCTTAGTAATTAGTAATTAACAACTTTTACCAACTGACTAGCCAACGCCGCTCTATTCTTCTATCAAAGCGGTTAATGAAAATAGGCCGGCTGTTAATGATATATACGGTGCGTTTAAGGCATAGGGGTTCAAGCAAATTCTAAAAAAATTTACTGGCAATTGTTTTTCTGACAGATGAATCCTGCCTGTCGAAGGATTCGGCCCCACTTTGTATGCGTCAGTCTAGAGTTTATTCGCTAAATGCGAAATGTAATGTTAGCATTCTAGGAGGTAACGCAGGAATGAATTAATAAAATTTGTAAATCAAACAGAAACATATAATGATAGCCTTCTCCCGCTATAGATTTCTGCCAATAGTTGTTGTCTGTTGCGACTGCTTTTTTGATGTTCATTTTTAAATTCTTTTTTCTTTTTTAATGCACGAACCCCAAATCACCATTTATATATATAAATATATATATTATTTATACACATAACGCATATTCAGGAAAGAGAAGTAACAGGAAATATACGACTTCATGGTGCTATAGATCGATACATTAAAAAAATAGAAATTTTAAGCAAACTGCCATCAATGGCATACAACTTGGGAAACGGGTTAACTTACACCGTTATGCTAATGATATCTAATTGAGAAGGAAGTAAAAAAAAAAACAAAAAATAAGAAGATTTTATTGAGGAATCTTTTGAGGTAGACGTAGATCATACGTGAATGTCATATGTCTGTGAGTGAGCAAACAAACAAAGGACCCCATGGTGTTACTTAAGCAGCGCCAAAGGGTCGATAGGATAACGTGGACATTTCACTCAAAGGAGCGTCGGAACCCTGTACGTATATCGAACCAAGCGTTTTTTCGACAAGTTAGATACCAAGCGCGCTTATGTTAACGGCGGTGCAAGATCTATCATTCGAATAATGTATTAATCCTATATTGATTAAAAGTTCTTTGAAACTGAAGTAAACAATTTCCATAATTTACATAATGGCCAAGCAATATCATTATATAAGATTATAGTGTGTTATCTGTCTATAATTACAATAACTTTTGTTTACACTACGTTATTTTTTAGGGGTGTAATAGTCACCCAGAGCAGCTATGTAGAATGTTAAGGCTTTAGACCAGCTGACCGGGTGTTTGGCGTTTGTTTCAGTTTCATTTTGCTATTTTCGTATATTTTTCTATTATAAGATGGCTGGCTCTTTTGTCCATTTATAAATTCGAAATCAATAATTTCGACTGCTTTAATATTTCGTAAAGCGTAATTTAGTGTAGCGTGTCGATTGCAAACTTCGTTGAGATATGCGAAGGCATTCAGGTGCTTTGGTGAAGTTGTGAACCTGGTCTATTTTTTGTATTTTAAACATAGCAAGCAAACACACACTGTGTCATTCATGGACTTAGCACAATTGTATTGCTGTATGTACACGTAGTTTTGAAAAAAGAGTTTTAAATATGCAGTGATTAGTACAGAATAAAAAAGTACGGATACGGCATTTTCAACGTTTATTTTCAATGTTAACCAACACACGTCACCCGTTCAACACTTGCATTGACATTCGACAGCGACTTTTTCTACGACGCGAGCAAAATCAAACCATTATAGAAGGAAAATGGTTGGTGTGATGCCAAAATCATGAGCTCGAGCTCCCCTTTAAGCAAAGGTAATGCATGGCGCTTATCCACGTAGCTATGCACAAATTGATAAACCATTAGAATTTATCAGTTGCACACACGACGTTTTCGCCGACCGGATTCCGAACCATCAACCAGCCAGCCAGCCAATCGATCGACTAATCAATCGAGCCTTAACATAACATGCTGTTGGAGCTCCACACGAACTTATTGTATCGATTACGGCAAATGTTCGCCAAACGCCAAAAGATTAAAAAAAATAATGCGCACTTCTACTATTAACACATGTGACCTTAAAACTAATTAATCGATTTTCACAGATGCTGCACTGATTCTATTCAGAAACATCGGCACTGGCAGATATAGAAAAATTTGTATTTCTTTACTTTTTGCCGATGATATTCCCTTAAAGGGTTGAGAAACATTAGTTAATTCGTCAACACTGTAAGAATAACTTTTTTACTCGCAGGAGGGAATTAGCTATTTTAAAGCCGTTAGTCCAACTATACTTACGAGTAGCTACTGAGTAAATTCGCTTAACTGGCAACTTTTTTCAGGGACCCTTAAAGACGTTTTTGCACTGCATGTTTAGTTTAAAACCTTTAGGTAAGATTTGTTCCTTCATGATATAAGGATATGTCTACTGCTAGTAGATTGTAATTATTACTCTATTCTTATGTTATGCGTTAATATGCTCATTATGTGATGATTCTACGAAATGTTTATTTTAGCTCAGTACGACGTATACACACGACGTATATACACTACTGTCCTTATAAAGCGTTTTCCTTTCAGATGCTTCTCAGACACATCACCCTCGGAAGTGCCTCAGGCTGTAGTAAGTGTGCTTGCTTTGGATTTGTATTGGTAGATGGTGTACATATTCAAGATTGTTTCAAGTAATGAAAAATGTGTCGCGAAATGATCGTACGATGCCTTAGTAAGCTAGGTATTTATCCCTGCTTCGAATTATCCTTGTTATCGCGTTACAGGTAGGAGACATAACAATAAACAGCCAGATGCTATATGTCAACCTGGGACTGGCAATCAAGTACACTTTATAATATATTAAGCTGGAGTAAAAATCTGTCTCATTGTGAAAGAATGTGAGAAAAATATGGCGCAAGATATGGCTCGAATTGTCAGTCGCTACTTCACGTTAGACTACGAAGTAAAACCATGTGCAATGTTTTGTTATCCATCTGACCAAAGCTCATTAAGGAAGATTATTCAATCTCTATGGATGCACTTTCACAGAAACAAAGTGCTCCATCATGATGCGCAGAAGGCCTCCCTAAAATCTAAAAAATCCAAAAATCTAGTCTTACATGGTGGACGCTCCAGTGGTTTTGATCTTCCTGATTCCTCTTTGCAAGTAGCTCCTCTAAATCATCGATCAATTTTAGAGATTTAGAGGATCGGCCAATAGTTTCTCCTCTCATATGTAGACTTGTACGAAACTCTCCGATAACATTCATAAAATGATGGTTTCTCGCCACTTATATCCATATTCGTGTCTGTACTCACAGCTATATTATACGTATTTTTTTTCCTGGGACTCACAATTTGTTCCCTCGTTTTTTAATGAACCCAACGCCATTATTATATCCTACAGTAAAACTACGCTACCGCTAAATGGGAGGAGGATGGAAACAATTAGAAATCTCCGATACAGAAAGTCACGTTACTTTTTAGTGTTTAATTCACCGGAGCGGGCATGGAATTAACTACTTTAGTTGCTGTTTCAGAAAAGATGACGCCAGACGTAAAGGGTAGCAAGTACATGAAGAACTGATACCTTACTAAGCGGTGTACATAAGTTGAGTCAACGCAATCTATCTTCGTTTTTCAGTAACTTTTATTGACACTTCTCATATAGCACCTTTGTCTTAGCTGTAGGCATATATAAGTTGAAGACGAAACAATCTTTGCATTGACCTACATATGCCTATCTACACGTCAGCCGAATTGCTTATACGAAACTAGGTTTCAGTTTGCGTGGAGATTGGAAACCTGTTACTAACTGGATAAACACCGCGTACTTTAAACGTGCTCAACAAGCTGAGAGATAGTGGCCCAAATAAACCGAGAAGAATGCATTTCTAATTGTAAAAACGTACATGTGCAGAAAAACACATGAACAAATGTTAACATAGTAACTGTAGCGTGCACGTTCGAAATAAAAAAAAATTTATTTGATCATTTCAGAATTCAGACCATTACTACTTACAATATTTTGTTTATTGTAAATGTAAGATTTACTGAATTAAGACGAGGGGCCCAACAATTTAGGTTTGAATTAAAAACAGACTACATTCTGAACCATATGCGTCGCATGTTCAGCTGATAAATGTTTACTTACGGATGACCATGCAGGTAAAAAAATGCTGAGCGAAGTCCCACACTACCGTGGAAAATACGTAGATGTGAGGCCATAAACAGAATCCGCGCATTTTTCTCCTGAGAAAGACAGGTTTGACTAAATACGCACATTTCTAGGTGTAGTTGAATTTGATGTAATGCGCATAGACTCGCAGATAAACTACCGATTCCGAGAATCCATGAGTGCAAACATGCATTATATTTTGAATAGTTGTATATAAAGGTGCTTGTTGTTATTGGAAACGGTCTATTAATGAGATATTTAAAGTAATTCAGATGCAAACTGTAAGACCTCAGTATGCTTGTACGGTTCAAAGAAAGCTCGAGGTTCTGGTGAGCACCATTGCTACTTCTTGAATATCTATTGATAAAACGGCTTCCTTAATTAAATTATGCGATTGCACAGTAAAAAATATTCGACGATAAGTTTAATCACATATTGTGCTATGACAAATCTACAGAACGAAACAGTAATTGCGACAAGCTTTGCTTGGCTGTTTGTCGTAGCGGGCAAACGTTTTTCTTGGTAATAGAACAGAGCCAATTTCTACAAAAACAACATGTTCATCGTGAAGAAAAATTGTTTCCTTATCAGCTTATCGACTATCATCCAGTCTACTTTCCGCGCTGGACGATTCTCCGCCAGAACTAAAAACCGAAAAACTCCAAACCGTTTTTACTTAAATATATAATGAATATTGGAGTTAGATTTATAGATATACCTAGTCAGACTGAGGCTTAAGGCAACGTCTATGAGTCTGGACAATGTGATACCGCTGGTATTGAAATGCTTTTGAGTATTCTACAACCAGTCACATAGCACTTTGTAGTATTAGATTTCAGTTTCCTTTTACTTATATAATAACATGTTCTTTCTGATTTTTTTCAAGCAATGACATGAAACGCTAAGGAGGACGTCATTCACTAGAAGTCCTGCATATAGTCTAGACATGTTTTCTTCGACACGAAATTGGTTTAATTTGAAAATCCATCAATGCGTTCTGTTTGAAATTAAATCACTTCCAAACTAAAAGAAGTAATCTCTAAGTTAGATCGTTTCAAACCAAATTGGGCAAAGCTTTTTAATTAGTGTAGACAGTTCTCGTATCAAATTGGACTTTTTGGGCTTTATAATTCGGTTGTGAGATATCGGATGTAGTTCATCTCAGCAGCATCAACTTTTTGGGAATAATAAGTCTTCTAACTAGACTTGAAGCTTAAAATAAGAAGAGCAAAAATTGAAGAACCCATGCCTTTCTTTCATTTGGTCGACTGAGTTACTTTCAGTATATACTTTTGCTCTTAACCTTGATTGTTTAAGACACCTTCTAAACATATATATAAATATATATAATGTCGACATAAAGGATTAATTCAGAATCTTCACTGGTAGGTTAGCATAAATACGGCACAGAAAATGGACCGAAATTATAATCTATCAAAGCCATTTGGACCCAAGAAATCGTTTGCACTAGTCAGGCATCGTTCGCAACATGACAAAAAAAAAGACTTCTCACCTGTTACTATTGGTCTTCAATTCTTCATAACAAAACAAAATGGTTCGTCTGAACCATTAAAAACAACTATCACAGCAATAAAAAGTAAGTTAATAAAAACTCAGCAAAAGTCTGCAACTCGATGACGGCTTTTGTCTCAAACACGCTACTTTAGAATAAGCAAAATGCCCAAATGAAGTCATGAAACAAAGATAATATAGAGTCTTCGTAATAACATTCATATTTTATTTTCGGTTATTTTCATTGGCGCGGTACGGTATATAAGTCAATACGGGCAAGGCTAGCAACTTATTAAACCCCTAGTATTGCTTCGTTCACAGGCTCAGTCAATCAGCGTAGATGCCCATCGATACCTTTCGTTTTCGTTTTTCCGAATACAGTTTCAATGCCGTTATCGTAGTCAAACTACGCCTTAGGTGCGTTGCCACGGTAACCATGATCATGTGGCCAGAGCTGGTTCAAATCTTGGCATTTCCGTATTTAGTAAGTTCGATGGAGAAAAAATCGATGGAGAAAGGAACAACAAGACAAGTCTCAAGTTATGTCTAATAGCTTGAGTACTAATTATAAAAAAGGCCGTGATCGGTGCTAGATGTATCTAGTAGACACGTTCAAGTTTAAGTGATCAATCTGAAGTCTTTGAGCGGCATGAGCAACCATTAAAGGCAACTGGGTCAGTCAGCTCATGTGAAGTGCGTCTAACAGTTATACGTACAAAATGTACGATATTTAATTAGTTAGAACGGAAGTTAGTAAATTAGAACGGAAAGAATATAATTCATTAATAAGGCCGCCTGATCCTACTGAAATTATCGTTCCAGTTCAGCATTTACTTGGAAGACGAACGAGCGGTAAGTAAGTTTTCTAACGTAAAGTTGACTCACCATCTTCGGAATGATTTTTCGGAGGTTCCAGTAATGAGGGTCTTGAGCTGCAAAGACCCTTATCAAGACACACACTTAGGAAACTCATCTGTTTCATAAATGTTTCAGTAAAAAGACTTTTTATATATTTATTTTAGTGACTACACAACCTATGTCGGCAGCCATCTCACCGTGCCAATCATTTTGGTAAGAAATAAAACGTAAAAGCAAAAACATCGAAATCCGTGGTTTTTTAATGTCATTTTGCGGATAGTTCAATTTACTTAGCTTTTTTTTTGTAAATTTAAGGAACATTTCAATCGATTCGCCTTCTTTGTAGGGATTTACATTTTTTGCGGGGATTGCTAAGCTTACTATTTGTAGAAGACAAAGCTCGAGACTCTTTAAATTGCGTACGTTTTTGGAACAACTAATCGTTCGGATTCGGAATTTTGATTTTGCTTCATAATCATATCTGTAGTGATAACATCTATTATGCTACATTGTGGGAACATTCGATGATTTTAAGAAAAACCCATCAGAAGCTTAAATAAATAAATATATAATGGTTAATATACGTTCTTGTACGAATATCGTTAATGCAGTTATTCTACATTGCTTATTTGGCTTGTTATTCTTGGTGAACGCCTTGTCACCTTGTGTCTTAACAAGAAGCGGCTGAAGGTACATTCATCTCCCTATCATGTGTTCACGTTCTTCAAAGTTATTACAATTCAGCCTAACCTAACTAATTTCATTTACCGCACGGTAGCGGTGTTGGTTATTTTTAATATTACGCCATCATGCACTCAAAATGTACCGACCTTTCACAGGTTCTACAACTCGACTCACAGGGGAAATCTGTAAATTGCATCGAAGAGAAGTTTGAAGGAATCGTTTTAAACTGTTCGTTTAAAGGATGAAACCGAAGACATTCAGTACCTACTACAACAGACTGTACGTAGAAAATGGACACTTCAGTGGACAAGTTTCATGGGATTTGTAGAAGGTATGCTCGTGTTTGGGTGATTCTAAAAGGAAGGAGAGAAATCGTTTTCTGACGAATGGCTCCTACTGACCGAGTGACACCCAGTAGGCTCTTGGATGCACTAAATAATTTGTAGACGGCCCATAGAAATCTTTTCAGACCGTTAAATCAAGCTCAATTTTAGGAACCGCAAGACATGGCATTGAACAACAGGCAAATGATGCAATAGCTTACGACTGGGCAAAATCAAAGGGTAAATAAAGTAGCAAATAAGAATAGAAACTAGGCTCTTAACATAGGTTATACAACGACGTGGCCACACGATAGTAAAATATTTTGTTTTGACCTTCTGCTCTCTGTCTTTCACATTTTTATTATATAATTTCTAATTAGATATAACGTAAAATCATTGTTTTTATGTAATATATAGTATCAAATAACAAATAAAGGTCATGTAAAATTACAATCATGAAGCCGCTGCAAACTCGTGGCGCTGCAATCGGCGCTGCTGTAAATTGTTTGCACAAAGACAAGCTTTTAACAAATTTACGCTCAATTTTAATCGGACTCGTCATTGAACAGACCCTGTCACAAATATGTTGCAGACAAATGTTGTAGATATAGTATACAAAATGATTGATTACGCAATATGTGATGTCGAATTAAATGCATGAAACATTGGCGTGTTTTCTTTCGAAGCATCGCAGCCAAAAAAGAAACCCTACCTTTAAAAAACTTGACTTAAAGATGCAAACTGTGCATCCTTGTTATTTGGTCCATATAAGTGCTGTAGTTCATTGTCCTATCAGCTACTTCTTTTCAAACTTGAGTCTTCTCAGAAAAGAAATATGAGTCATTGTCGCGTCTTGTATGACAGGCGCATGCATATTCTTAATCGTTGTTCTTCTTGTTGCACAAAAGCGATTATAGATTGAGGGTATTTAGATCCTCCTTATTATTGCTATTATGCCTTCTTATACAAAGCTATTCGAGGCCTCAATTTCAAAATCGCTTTCATTATTTAGATGCCGATATGTCGCTAGTATAAGTTTTTACAGGTAATGTATTTCTCTGGAGTGGCACGTTTCTATGACAGCCTACTGGGCCCTAGAGAGCAATATTTGCAAGCCGTTTTTGCCCTTTACTAACACTTATTGGGACCAAACTAGAAGAAGCATGTTGCGCAATAACCAAAAGGCTAGTTTACTATCAAATCTATAATATCTCGTCGGCCTTAATCATCTCGCGAGTAACGATTTCTTCAGCAGACTATGGAGCCGGTTATTCTTATCAGAATTTTCTGAGAGATTATGCTTTATACCGATATGCTATACTACTTTGTGTGACACAACGCATAAATGTTTCTTATATGCGGCAAGTGTATACTGTAGTACCTGTGCAATTACTGAGTAAGTTACGTTAGAAGAAAAACGCTTTTGCATGGACACGATAGAGAGACCAACGTATCTTGAGGCCCTGTAAGTAAATAACTTCAAGGGATAATTCTTTACTTATTGATTACTAATATTTTTAGAAACCAGTAAGGCATCATTTTAGAAGAAACACATTATAAATTCTGATAAGAAAATGTTTCGCTATACAGTAGAGTTTCTCGATCCCATATACGAACGCGTAGGTGTCAGTATTCGATGAATTTTTGTGGCGGAAATTTGCTCATTTAATGTACGGATATATATATTTACATTCAGTCAAGCAGCAAGGCAGATGATCCCTTTTCAAAACTTTTTCAGTACTTTACTTCGAAACTAAGAATATTTACTTGACATGGCGTATCTAAAGGATAACATTATGAATAGACAGCGATTATGTATACTATATATACAATTATGCGAACATTATATTAAGTTATAAGTATAGTGGCATATAATAATAGTTTATGATCCAAATGAGATATTGAGAACTAGTTATATTGAGTCACATGACGTGATTGGCGTGTGTTTTTATGGTGTATTCCATGCAGCGTCAAGCACAGATGACTACGCTCAACAAAAACAACAGTAGCGAGAGCCGAAACGACCACGCGATTATATTAAGCATCCAGAGCAATTTCTATCATCGGTTATGCATGACGTTGTTGGTTTCCAGCCATCCCCTACCGGCGATTTCTAGCGAGTCGACTCAAACAAGAGCATGCGCGATTTGTGGCTGGTTCATGCAGGTTATAAACAAATGAACGAAAGGTTACAGCGACAGGCGTCGCCGAACTTCTAGCTTCACAAAGAGGGCAGTTTGCTTTTCCTACAAGAGGCTACAAGCGCCGATCCTAAAACTACCAGTTAAACCGGTTGAATTTTCAGAAGCTTTTAAAGACAACCCCCGGGAAAACTGTTTCGAACGTCAAGGTCACACTCTTCCTACAAGGTTAATGTTACTACGACGTGGAGGGGCATAGGTTTGTATTCACGAATTCTAGAGGTTGGGCCGATTGGGGACGCAACTCGTGTCAGGGCTTATGATATAATAAGAATAAAACAAGTCGTCAACGGCCTCACATAAACTGATCTCGTTTTATTATCTGACTTCAAGGGAATAGCGCTTTTATTGCTTCTGCAAATCTGATTAAACAGTGGTTAAGGACAGTATTGTATGCATAATATAGTTTTAGATCACAGGATAATGTTGTAAATGTGAACATGGGTTCTTTTTACTTGATGCATAGAATCGTCCAGTGTTTGTAAGGCATCGATTATGATTCCACTGCTGGCCGATCGCTTTGAATATAGCATTCCGTTGTTTTTATTCCTTAAGCAGTAGGGCCTTAGCCGGTAACAATGATATGTTTGAACAATGCAAAAGCAGTTACTAGTGGATCATTTTATCGTTAAATTACAAGTTATATGTAATCGCTAGTTGCAGATCCTTGGGTGAACTCGAGGCATTTACAAACCGATTCTAGTGTGGTTCGATTAGGTGAGCATTATGTTAAAACTTTCTTGACAGCTCTGTCATAGAGGAAGATCGGGGCTATATATTTCTTTGTTGCTAAATCAGGAAACGCAGTGGCTACTATTTCACGGCTCGCTCGGCTATATCCAGTTCGTTCGTTTCTGTTCTACATGAGCTTAGGTCACCCATGCGCACTCAACCATGTAATGGCATATTTGCGCTTAACTTGCAGAAATAACATATGCTTATCCTATCACCTTATCATAAAGAATTAAAAATGTAATAAATATGATGTAGAACTCAATGAAAATGTTACGTAAATTAGTTTGGGGCAATGTTCTGCCTGTTATCGACCATCGTATCTACATCTTCTTTAAATGGTTACTTTATTTATCATTGAGTTTAAACGCTTCTCCGATTTACTTCGGATTGCACGCAGTTTTGTCACCTTAGGTCTAAACCTGTCATTTAGATTCGGCAAGATCGATTCAGGTTACCCATAGTCTAATAAAATGAATAGCATCGATCTACCTTCAAGCAACAGCGGTCGCTTAAGTGCACCATCTCGAAGGCGTAATAGGGAATCTGTTAGTAATCATCCTGCAGCGATCACTGTTACGAGTTTTTTTAGTATTTAACTATATATTGGTAAAGAATCAGTCATTCCCGAACGTATACGCATACGAACAAGATAATAACTTGGCGCTATCTGATATTAATCTATTAGCGCTTCGTTTGTACTATACCCAATATCTATAAGCTATTTCGGAAAACTACCCGTTTGGTGTCGATAGTCTATTTTATAACAAAAAAAACTTCACATACGTGTCCAACAATCGAAGCGAGGATTAATAACAAATACAAAATGTGCGTGTAGGTATACCCTACAAAAATCTATATGAACTATGACTTTTAACAGTTTGAGCCCTAAACATAAGCTACTACGCCTTTTCCTCATGTGACTCAACATCTAATTAAATTTGTTTCACTGGAGCAGATTCGTACCGCGTTTTGATTACTGTTTTCAGCAGTATTCTATAGCGAATAAATCTGGTACCGATACCATGAATTCTCATGATATTTTGGCTACTGTTGGCACCACCGATATCCGGTTTTTGGTTTTTCTATTTTTCCCCAATTTTCAAAAGTTGAGCACACGAGGTCCATTCCTACTGTTTGCTCCTGCTCAACTAAAATTATCCAGGAACATGTCTGTACAGTGCTTAGCTTCTTTACAGTG